AAATTACTAAATCCGAATCTATTTATCATATGCTTGGAATTTTAATGCTAATTTGGTTGATTTAGGGAAGGAAAATACATATTTAGAAAAATGAATAATTTTGAAAATGAAGAGAAAGTTAAGGAAAATTGGAGGATTAAAAATGTTTGGTCTTGGGCGGGATTCGAACCCGCGTCCTCAGCATTGCCGGTGCTACGCTCTAACCAACTAAGCCACCAGGACAGCTCAGCTGAGGACGCGGATTCGAATCCCGCCCAAGACCAAAAGTTTTTAATCCTGTAATTTTCCTTAACTTTCTCTTCATTTTCAATTTCCACGCTTTTCGGTTATTTTAACCGACAAAACTCCATTCCTTTCAACATTGCCCTTGCGGGCATCGCATACACCGAGTTTTGCCACACATGGACGAAACCTACATATGTATAGTAATAGGGTAACTTATTCGAATTAGGACCGATTTCATAGAATGTGTTGATCTATTGGAGGATTGAGAAGTTTGGCAGTGAGCGGAGGACCACGCGACTTCCTCTAACAACACCAAAATAAAAATCAAAAAGATCGGGGTGGCTTAGTTGGTTAGAGCGTAGCACCGGCAATGCTGAGGACGCGGGTTCGAATCCCGCCCAAGACCAAACATTTTTAATCCTCCAATTTTTACGCTTTTCGGTTGTTGTACCCGACAAAACTTCATTCCTTTCATATAAGTTTGAGTAAAACGAATAAAACTAGAAGGCCAAAGTCACAGTCTCACAAATTAATAAATCAATAACACGGTTACATCTTTTTTCCACGATAGAATCATCCGACTCCAGTTAAAAAACAAGCAACTAGTGCTTGATTGCTTTAAACAGTGATGTATCAGGTCTGAAGATGCTGTGACATACGAAACATAGTAAGTAACCGTTTTATTGATAAAATAATCTGTGTGACTTTGAGTTGAGTTCTCCGTTTTCTTCAAATACATGTATTGAGGAAAACCACCTATTTAAAATATTATTTCTTCGAATCTTAACTTTTTGAAACGTCTACTATAGAAAAGCAAATGGTAAATGTTGCAACCACGCAGTAGCGTAGCTAGGCGACTGCCGACGGCCTCGCGCCCTAAAGAGCCATGCAAAAAAAAAGGGTACCCAACCTAAAAATTGACACTTTTCGGTTTCCCAAAATAAAACGTAGAGAACAAATAAACTTAACCATAGGGCAGACGCGCATTTGAAAATCACATAAGCGGGCGCGCCAGCAGAAAAACATACGAAATAATTCGAAACAAAAACACAAAAATAATATTTATAATATTTGTACTATTCTCTTTGTAATTTTACTTACATGACCAGGCGCGCTGGCGGCACGGAATACCGAAAACTCAACACCTGCAAGTTCAAGAACTCACTGACATCTGAACAAGCGCTCTAAGGTCGTAAATTGTGCGTAGTAGGTTTGCTGATATAGTCATTTGAACATAGCTAGACAGACAATATGATAAAATCCACAATATTTGCGGAATCCTTGAATTAGTGAAAAGGCGGCATAAAAGGCCGATAGCGCGCCTGCCCGAGGGTTAATCCTATACGAAACTTCTAAATATCATAGAATTCACTTAGGGCCGGTTTCTCAATAGTGAGTCACCCCCGGGTTAAGCATAACTCCAGGGTAAACATAGCAACTGGACACGCTTACCCTGGACACAGATCACCTGGATACAGATGCGTAAGTAAGTATCCTTACCGTCGTCGACTCAAAGCTACGAAACCACGGCTCTCAAGGAGGCCAGCCGCCTAACGCATAGGCACAGATCGTCCGCGTTTTTTAACGTTCAGTCCCTTTTTTCAGTTAAAACATTATTTCTGTGTGATTCTATAAAGAAATCTAAGCTAAGTTAGTATGCAGTTTAAATCAAATTGTCCTTCTTCCGTAGCCCTGAGGAAGTCCTAATAATCTAAACGTATTGGTAAATAGAGTTCATGCACAAAGCTTGTCAATAAGATTTTTTCCCTTCAAAATTAATCTTACTGAATTTGATACACCTGCTATTTAGTTTTTATGTAGTCAGCTAGTTTAAACATTCCATCGTTTGTGCTAATACCCTTCAGGGTACCAAACAGATTTTCACTTTTAACTTTGTTCATGAGGTAAAATATTTTTGCAAACACGGTAAGCCTAAAGGCCTGTAGTTTTCAATAGCAGACCTCATTAAATGAGACAACAATAGATTTTTTGAAATTAAGTCGCAATTTCTTGCTTAAAACAAGGTTTATATGAGCCAACGACTTGACAGTCTGTGCATTTACAATCCCTAATTAAATTAGCACTAATACCATCGTAGTCTGGTGAGCTACTGTTTTTCAGTGATGAAATATGTATTGTTAAATCTGCTCCATTTACAAGATTTAAAAACACTGAGTTAGCAGGATTGGGATAATTTTCTGATGGAGGGATTATATCTATCTATGGAAAAGAAGCTTTTTTTAAGCCAAGTTTTCGTCCAGTATCGATAAAGTATTCATTGAAAAAGTTTGCTATGCCTCTATTGTTTCAAACGCTCTTTCAGAGTTGTGTGTATATCACTATTGTTTTTTGCACGTGTGTTAGTAACTTCTTTGATTATATTGCCCCTATTATGCTATGTTTACTATTTTCCAGTTTCTCCTTGTAATATCTGGTTTTAATGTCTACTTACCTGAACGATTTCTGTAAGTTATATGCCTAATAAGAAGCTGTGTGTCATTTCTACTCATAAGATTTGTTTTTCATTTGATCTCTGTTTTTAATTGAAGTGATCAGGCCATTAATTTGTGATCCTGATGGTTCAATTTTGTTGCCACTTTTCATCTTTATCAGTTTTGTTGTGCAGTGACTGTAAGAGCCTGTTCGGGTTTGAAAAACAGACGGTTCTAGAACGGTTCAAAACATTCGCACAGCTTATTATTTAAATTTGTGATAGCCGAGCCATTGTCATTTTGTTGTTCGATAAACTGTGCGATTGTTTTGAACCGTTCTAGAACCATCCTTTTTTCAAACCCGAATATAGCTTTTATTTTATAATAGTCATCATAAACAGATCTCCAAGCATCTGTTATCTGCTGGTCATTTAAGTTCCAGGTCTCTTGGCTAATTAAAGCTTCAAACTTGATTGAGAGAGTTTTGGTCCTGGTTTAAGGTAGTTCCTGCATAAAATTTTGAAACCTATTTGATCTTCTTTATATTTTAATTATTTATGCAAATCCTATCGATTTGGTGTGGCGTTGGAGTTGAATACCCCGATCCTACACCCAGCTAATACATGTTTTCTGTGACCATTTGCCTCAAAATTGTAATTCGTACATAAAACTAAGATTTTCATGGCCTACAGAAATGTTGAGCTTCAATGCAATACAATAAATTCCTTCATTTCATTGCAGCTAGTCAATTTTTTTTAGGAAATGAGATTTACTTAAGAGAAAACGCAACAATCCAATCCCATTAAACTTCTTTAATTCTCTTAAGTAATAAAACTCTCGGTTAATTAACTATGCAAAGTTGAGATTAGGTTTTCCTTTTACTGCAGTAAGTTAAAGCAAGCAAAGCCAGTGTAAATTTAATTGTACATATGCAGCGGGAGGATTAGACTAATTTGGTTATTTAAGGGGTTAGAGGAAAACGATATTGCTTTCAGGAAAATGAGTAGGAATAAGTTTATTTTTGCGTTTCTAGATTTGAGATTTACATTAAAAATATAAATTTTGAAGTTCCTTAACGAAATAGACGCTTTGTTTAGGAAATGTAAAGTTATAAGTAAAAATATTCCGAATTGAAAACTTACTGGTCCCTAAAACAGAAATCTTCAAATATATTTATTTTTCCAATTATCTGCAGCTGATCGACAAACCAATAGGGCCAATGTCACTCAAAAAATTAGTTACTTATTTCAATCAGTTTTTTTTTATATATACAGAGTCCCAACTATTTCATAGGGACAGTATCGCTATCTCGGGAACGGTTAAAGTTACGAGGGCGTTTGAATTAGAAAACAGTTGCCATTTTTGAAGAATAAACCTTTAACTACCCGCGCCGGTGTAGAAAATACACCATTTTTACTAGAAGGGCGGTAAAAGCCCGAACCGGTATCCCCCACTCATCCCCCTCGATGTAACCTACTTGTATTTACTAGGTGCTCAGATAATTGCGCTTTGGTAGCTGGAAAGTTAGTTGGTTTATTGACAATTTCTCTAGTACACTACATCAGACTGTAGTGCAATGCAAGCATTCATGGGTTTGCTATTGTTATTTGGATATATGAAATAAAATCATAACCACTTTTTGGAACTGTGGAAGACAAATGGTATACCGATTCTGAAATCTTTCGAGCATATATGGGTAAAAACCGACTCCTAGCATGAAAAATTAAGGCAAAATTTTTTCTTACCCCTATACATTGATTTATGTACTCAATCACACATTCATATGTGGTGTATACACTCAAAGAAAATGCTTGGTAAAATCAACCAGAAAGAGTATATGAAATGGCGTCTATCTCGTTTGATAGTTAAATCAACCAAAAAAATATGGTTAAAAAAATCTTGTTTGCAAACAATTTTTATTGTTATTTTCAACAATATATTTGTTTATTTATGATCTAAACATTTCATAGTCCCTAAACTACTTTATTAGTTTACATAAACAACTAATAGTTGAGCAACCATAATATCTTGTACAGCAACCTTATTAAATAATATATTGACCACAGTTTTTGTTCTTCACCTACATATTTATTGTTCAGCTACTATTTTTTGTTTTGTTGCCAATTGAATTGTATATTTGACCATATTTTATTAATTAAAATATGGTCAAATATACAATTCAATCCAATCATTACTAATTATTGGTAATAATTGGATTAGGTGTTTAGAATAAAAAACATTTTTTTTTTTTTTCAAAAAACAGTTTAATAATTGAAGATAAAACAAATTCTTTCTTAACAATATAAAATATAAACATACTAAATAGATAGGTCTGAAATGAAATTATAATAGATACAGTATAGGAGGTAGGTATGGTATATTTTCAAATTTCACGTTATGTCTATAAGGCAATTTATACATAGGAATATGGGTGGGTAGTGAAATTGACCATGTAGATACTTTCTGGAAAGAAAGCATAAGCACTATGATAAATGCATCATAATGTTATTTTTTCACTCACATTTTCTATTTTCCATTCAGTAAGTTTTTGCTGCAATTCAATTCTAGTTCCTAATGTAGGGGAGTCTGCTCCTTTGAAGGATCCATAATGCATAATTTCCAAAATGAAAAGTGTGTAGTCTTTTAACAGCTCATGAAGATAAGGCAACTTTCCTTCTGTGATTTATTGGACTGAAAAAAATAATTTAGATGGGTTAAAAATAGGATCTTATACCATATACCACCTATCCAGTAAATTTCGCAGTTCCGAGTCTTCGCTATAATAGACGTCTTCTTTGTCAGGCGAGGTTTGCATTGAGGGTTGACCCGACACAGTTTATCAATGGGTTATTATTAGCTGGCATCATGTTAACTAAATCTGTATATTCAAGATCGTAATGAATTCCTATGTCCAAATCCATTATAGCAAAGTACTTATCTTACCAGAAAAAAAAACTGTATTTCAGGAACAGGAACAGAACCACTACGCGTATTTATTGTGAATTCACTGCACTGAATGTATTCCATCTAGGTATCAAACTTGGATGATTTAAACCAACAATATGTTTGGTTTAAAAAGAATTGAGCGTGAATTTACCTTTGAATTTGTTTTTCCAAAAAAAAAAATAGTTCGCGAACCTGAATGATGGGTGAAATTATCATATTAAAATAGTAAAATAGAAAATATTGTGGTAATAATTACTTTCACCATAAAGTTTGTTTGTTCAGTTTAACAATAAAATAGTGTACAGTAAACTTATAGTAGATTAAATAACCACAAAGTAGTTGAAGTACCCTATTTTTTGTTTGCTTTAACAACTTATTAGTTAGATGCTTCAATAATAGTCAATCTCGACCATTTTTAACTGCTAATTAAACATTAATACTTGTTAGTGCTTCAAAAATAATAGTACATCGACTAAAATGATGGTAGATCTACTATTTTTTAGTATTATTTGACAGTATTCGACAAGTTATTAGTTACATGACAATTGACGAATTGTTAATTATCTATTCTTTTTGGTTAAAATAACCTATACTATTTTTTTGAGTGTATGATACACAGCGCGGGTAGCTACAGGAGATTCTAGAGCGCGGGCAGCTAAAGGTTAAAAATATATTTTAGTTGTTGCCAAATTTCTATTAGTTTCGCAAATACAGTGTGATTTATGAAATTTAGCAAAAACAATTTTATCAAATATTTTAAAATCTATTAATTTTAGAGACATAGTTGAAATTCAAAAGTATTATTTTTTTTTCCGCCCTACAACATAGAACCTAAACTTATTATTTTTTTTTTTCTAATTTAGACGCTCTCGTAACTTCAATCGTTTCCGAGATAGCAATGCTGTTCCTATGAAATGGTTGGGACCCTGTAGAGTGATGAATTTTCAATTAGGAACATTTATTTATTGGCTGACTCTATGTCTGTGGCAAAGTTCGAATCCTATAATAGGATAAAGGTTCCTATTTCTCCTGGTAAAAAAGCTAGGAAAAAATAAGATTCGGCGTCGGAATATCGTCCTGATTTACAAATAGTCTTGTGCTTATACTACATATGTTTGGGTGTGTTTATTTCCTCATTTATGGTTGGTATAGTTGCTTAGAAGGTTGCGTCTATTATGTTTAAAAAAACCTTGTTCTAAAAAGTTTATACGATGGGAATTGATAATTGGAGATTAATGAAGATATTTTTTGTCCAATATTAGGTACTAAAATCGATCATCGATGTTTCAATCTTGTCAGTACGGCTAAGTAACATATTCGTCACTAGGGTTTTTGGCAGATACACTAGTGCCGAATATATTCGTCAAGGCGCTATTTTGTTCTCCGAACCAACTTTTCAGACCCGGCACTTGAAAATGTTTGATTTGGGCTCACAGACGACTGACAAATTCTTCGGTTGGTTTTTGACAGACGGATTTAGGGCAGCCGGCAACGTGTCAAAGTCAGGTGATTAAATACCTGACACCTGCACTTAATCGGCATTGGCGGCAGTTTGCGTCAAAATGGCATCCCAACATGATGGTACCGCGAAAAACTCTAAAAAGTCTAGAAAACGAAAAGCGGAACAGATTAAATAATTATGCAGCGAACAGCATTTTTACAGTAACGAATATAGTCGTCAGCTGAGCTACCTATCTGCCACTGCCAAAGCTTTCGTTTGTGTGGCATGAAGCCTATACAGGGTGTCCCAAAAAGATACCGACAAACTTTAAGGGGTAGTAGGGGACATCAAAACAAGCATTTTTGTTTATATAAACATATGTCCGCAAATGAGCCATTTGGGCTGTAGAGCAAAAAAACTGTTTGATACTTTTATTCTTCGCAATAATTAAATCACTGTTTACTTATTAATTTTGCTTTATTATCAAATAAATTATGATTTACAATAATTGTTCAAAATAATAATAATAATAATAAGTTTATTTGCAATTATAAAAAAAAAGATATAAAAGCAAAAAGGGACTGGAAGGCAATAAATTGATCTAGACCAGCCCCTTTCCTGATGTTGACGAAGTCTACGAAACACTTGTTCGTAATGAGGAAGATCTGATAGCAAGGATACTGGCGAGTTGTACTCATGGAGAACCTATTCCCGGAATATTCCAAAGAGTTCGCGAGTTGAACAATTATTGTAAACCATAATTTATTTGCTATTAAAGCAAAATTAATAAGTAAACAGTGATTTAATTATTGCGAAGAATAAAACTAGATACCAAACAGTTTTTTTGCTCTACAGCTCAAATGGCTCATTTGCGGACATATGTTTATATAAACAAAAATGCTTGTTTTGATGTCCCCTACTACCCCTTAAAGTTTGTCGGTATCTTTTTGAGACACCCTGTATAGTGCTGCCCTTCTGGAAGGGTTATATTGGTTACCCACTTCTCAAACCCTCCAGTTTTTATAATCATTTAAAGATAATGCAGGTACATAATATTCTAGGTTTATTGAATAAACTAGCCATTAGCCATTAAACACATAATGTATGCCCAGTATTGCCCAGTACAAACATCACCAGCTCATTAGCCAACAAGAAGTCGCGACGTATGTCAAACAGCAGGGACGTGAAAAAGCTAGCTTTGGTTGGCAGAATTGTTCGAAGCAAACTGAGGAAAACCACCTATTTAAAATATTATTTCTTCAAATCTTAAGTTTTTTAAAAAACGTTTACTGAATAAAAATAAATGTTGCAACCTTGTATGTGCCGTGAAGCGTACTGAAAGGGTACCAAACCGAACGGGAGGTAGAGAAGAGGCGATTAGGCATTAGAGAGACTAGAGAACAAGCTGGGGCTGGTTCGTTAGATGCGTATCCCGTGTCTGTAATTATTCATTATTCAATTTTTATTTTTATTTTGCAATAAACTGATTGTTCAATCCAATTTGTTATTAGTGTGTGTGTCAAGGAGCGATCACCAGGCCAGTTAGATAATTATTATTTTGTTTGTGAGAGTTCAATTTATACAAGTATCATTTTTTCCATTTTTATGTTTTTTTTTGTTTGTTTATAACATTTTTTATAACATGTGCATTGTTCATAAGTATTTAACAAAAATCGTTTCATGCTGTAAACAACACCGATAAAGAAGTAAATTAAAACCTAAGAAATTATTAATGAAAAGTCGGTTTTCGGCTTATTTGGACTTTATTTAATGAAATATCTAAATCAACAGCCAACGTTTCGACGCATTCCGCATCATTCTCAAGGCTAAAAGAAAACATGCAAAGAACGTTACAAGCATTTCACAACGATTAACATTTTAAAAAATGACTGACAAAATAAATTAACATTTAACAAAAAAGAAGCATTTACAAAGGTTTAAAAAATAAATTAAAAAATGACGTATAAAAAAGAAATTAACATTTAAAAAGTTTCAACAATGACTATTACATAACAAGAGATAAGTAAAATGAGTTTCACAAATTATATTTTTGAAAAACTATCAATCCAGACAACATAGAACCAATTACCCAATTTGACTAATAAAAACGTCGTATTGTTATCTACAAAATACCTTACCAAAGTTTACCTTACCTAGATTATTAAAGCTATGAATCGCATCATTCGGACCGATTCATCAATAACAACAAACAAAAAAGTTCACACACCAAAGAGCGGTACTATTGCTTGCCGTGATGTTTCGGTACTACTTTTTCATATCGATCTGCATTGGTACGTAAAACTAAATTATTGATAATGTTGATTCCCACCCCACCAAATTTCACCTTTAAAAAACTTAATTTGGGGAACAGAACCAATTGAAAACAATCGAATGGTCGGTTTATAACTGATTGGTTATGATGTTGCAGTAAATTGTACTTAAGTTTTGTGTATCCATGTTAAGGTTTACATTGGGTTTATTAGTCGTTATATGGCACATTTCTAAGAAGAGTCTTTGTTGAAAATTAGGGTGACTGTCTAAGATAGTCGATGATTGGAAGTCAAACTGGTGTCCAGTTTCGAAGTAATGTCTTGCTAGTCCTGTTTTTGGATTATCTATCTTAGTAATATTACAATCCCTTTTGTGTTCTGATATGCGATTTTTCAGATATCATTAAATAAAGTCCAAATAAGCCGAAAACCGACTTTTCATTAACATATTCCTGGACGAAAACCACACTGTGTAATCCTAAGAAATTATGTGCTTTTTTTTTGTGCTGAGGTTTTCATTTGGTGTATTCAGAACGTGCATTAGGGTCTTATTTTCCTACCCTGACGAGAGAATATCCTAGCAAATTGAGAAAAATCAATCTAGAGATATTGGCTCAAAAACAAATATAGCTGTGAGTTTACGTAACCAGGGACCTCAGTACCTGTCACAGATGGGCTAACTAACCAAAAACTCTTCAGTATCGAATATAGGTAGGTGTTGATTGAATGTAGTGTTTGTAATTGGAATTTTAGCACAAAGACAAAGGATGGTAGTTAGTTAAACTACTTCACCTCGACTTAGCTATTACAATCTTTTCAAAACAAATCAAAACGTACTTCATATGTATATATGTCGATTTTGGGTTGAGTGCACGGTTTCTAGATAATTTGCCTGTCTAGGCCCCACTCACAAATGATCGAATCGACGGTGACACTTGATAAACTCCGGATAATTAA